AACACCAGCAATCCTGCCATCATGTAAAACAATTACAGGCTCTGTTTTACACTCACTTGGCAGGATGGTAGTACCTTCCTCGCGGTTGCTGTCTACTAACCTACTACCTAGGAAAAGCAACACACTGGCACAATAACAGTTGCACTGCACCTGTTTTTTTCTGCTAGCCAGACTGCTATTTCTTCCCAAGGAGCTGTTAGCTTACCAAATTTATGATGAAATTACGGAAGGCATCTCATAATGAATGTGAAATTGACATATGATTTAATAGGGTTGATGCATATCTAATGTTTACAGGTAAGAGATTCTTCCCTGATAAGTACTATGCATATATAATAGTCAATAGTGTTAATATAGCCTTCCTTTATATACAGGAGGGCCCTGTTTGTAGGGCTCTTAGGTTCCTGACCCCATGTCAGCAATACAGTGGACCCCCAGATTACGACGTCATCGGATTACGTAAAATTCGAATTAAGTATAGTTTTTGCGTCAAAATATTGGCTCGGTTAAAGTCATTCATCACGAACGTGTCCATGTGGCCTGAGTGTCCTGGCCACTCCATGTACAGCCAGTGTGCCATTGTTTACAAGCCAGTGAGGACGATTCCACATGTACATGCAATACATTTTGTATTATTCCGTTTTTTAGTGCTTATAACTGCTAAATAAGCCACCATGCGCCCAAAGAAAGCTTCTAGCGCCAGCCCTGTGGTAAAGAGGGTGAGAAATACTATTGAATTCAAGAAAGAGATCATCACAAAATATGAAAGTGGAGTGCGTGTCTCCAATCTGGCCAGGTTGTATAACGAACCCCATACAACCATCGCTACTATCTTGGCCAAGAAAAAGACAATCAAGGAAATTGTTGTTGTGAAAGCTGCAAATATGCTTACAAAACAGATCGCAAATACTTGAAGATGTGGAGAGATTGTTGTTGGTGTGGATCAATGAGAAACAATTATCAGGAGATAGTGTTGTGCAGTCAATTATATGTGAAAAGACAAGTCAGTTGCATAATGATCTCATAAAGAAAAAACCTGAAACTAGTGCTGATATTAATGAATTTAAGGCCAGCAAAGGCTGGTTTGAGAGATTTAAGAATCGTAGTGGCACACACAGTGTGATAAGGCATGGTGAGGCTGCCACAGTTCTGACAAAAAAGTAGCTGAAAAATATGTGCAGGAATTTAAGGGATACACAGAGGTTGAACAATTAAAACCCCAAGTGTTCAATTGTGATAAACCAGGTCTCTTATGGAAGAAAATGCCCAACAGGACCTACATTACTCAGGAGGAAAAGGCACTCCCAGGACACAAGCCTATTAAAGATAGGCTTGTGTCCTGTTTTGTAGTAATGCTAGTGGGGATTGCAAAGTGAAGCCTTTACTCGTGTATCACTCTGAAACTCCCAGTGTGTTCAAGAAAAACAGTGTCATCAAGACTAAATTATGTGATGTGGAGAGCAAACAGTAAGGCATGGGTCACTAGGGACATATTCTATGATTGGTTCCATGATGTGTTTGGTCCCACTGTGAAAAAATACCTCCTGGAAAATAAATTAGAACTCAAGTGCCTCCTGGTATTAGACAATGCTCCTGCTCATCCCCCAGACTTGGAAGAGCGAATGGTGCCGGAGTTTAGTTTCATAAAAGTCAAGTTTTTGCCTCCTAACACTACTCCTCCAGCGCATGGACCAGCTGGTCATTTCAAATTTCAAAAAACTGTACACCAAAGCAGTGTTTCAAAAGTGTTTTGAAGTGACCTCAGACACTGAACTGACCCTAAGAGAGTTTTGGAAAGATCACTTCAGTATCCTCAGTTGCATAAACCTTATAGGTAAGGATTGGGAGGGAGTGACTTGCAGGACTTTGAACTCTGCTTGGAGAAAATTGTGGCCAGAATGTGTACAAGTGAGGGATTTTGAAGGGTTTGGGTCTGACCCTGAGGAGCCTATGCCAGCTGTGGAATCTGTTGTGGCATTGGGGAAGTCCATGGGGTTGGAGGTTTGTGGTGAGGATGTAGAAAAGTTGGTGGAGGACGATGACGAAGAGCTAACCACTACAGAGCTGCAAGAGCTTGAGGTGCAACACCAACAGACCACAGCTCAGGAATGTCCTTCAGAGAAGGAAAGGAAAAGAGCTGGAGGAAGTTACCTTCTTCAAAGATTAAGGACATTTGTGCAAAGTGGATGAACATCACCCTGACACAGCTGTTGCAGGCCATGCTGGCAACATCTACAATGACAATGTTGTGTCCCATTTTAGGGAAATCTTAAAGAGACGCCAGAAACAGAGCTCTCTGGACAGATTTCTGGTGCGACAGGGGTCCAGTGACTCTCTAGTTGGTCCTAGTGCCATTAAAAAACAAAGAAAGGAATTAACCCCTGAAAAGGACTTGCTATGAAAAGTTTTTATGGAAGGGGATTCCCCATCCAAACAATAATACACCTCCATCCTCTCCCCTCCTCCCACCTCATCACTCATCACAAAGTCTTCAATAAAGGTAAGTTGTCATTTTAGTATTATTTTGTTTAATACTTTTGGGTGTCTGGAACCGATTAATTGGATTTCCATTATTTCTTATGGGGAAAATTAATTCAGATTATGACAGATTCGGTTAAAGACACGCTCTCTGGAATGGATTAGCATCATAATCCGGGTGTCCACTGTATGTATTTCCTATGTGTTCAACCCCCTTGTGAGCCTTTGTTACTAAAGTGTCATGTGATAACACTTGAATTGCCCAGCAGGCGTCTCTCAGTCAGATCAGGGCAGGCATTGATGGCAGACGTATGCTAGGTTCTGTCTTTGTTTGTCAATACACCATAACAGCCCTCTATTAGTGTTACTGTTACCTCACTATTCACTCCAACCATGAACCCTGACACTTGAGTGGCAAGATAAAATTGCTAGCAGGTGGAAAAAAAGAGTGGTTTTTCATCAGTGAATGCATCTAAAATGCCCTGTAATTTTTTTATTATTATTATTATTATCACACTGGCCGATTCCCACCAAGGCAGGGTGGCCCGAAAAAGAAAAACTTTCACCATCATTCACTCCATCACTGTCTTGCCAGAAGGGTGCTTTACACTACAGTTTTTAAACTGCAACATTAACACCCCTCCTTCAGAGTGCAGGCACTGTACTTCCCATCTCCAGGACTCAAGTCCGGCCTGCCGGTTTCCCTGAACCCCTTCATAAATGTTACTTTGCTCACACTCCAACAGCACGTCAAGTATTAAAAACATTTGTCTCCATTCACTCCTATCAAACACGCTCATGCATACCTGCTGGAAGTCCAAGCCCCTCGCACACAAAACCTCCTTTACCCCCTCTCTCCAACCTTTCCTAGGCCGACCCCTACCCCGCCTTCCTTCCACTACAGACTGATACACTCTTGAAGTCATTCTGTTTCGCTCCATTCTCTCTACATGTCCGAACCACCTCAACAACCCTTCCTCAGCCCTCTGGACAACAGTTTTGGTAATCCCGCACCTCCTCCTAACTTCCAAACTACGAATTCTCTGCATTATATTCACACCACACATTGCCCTCAGACTTGACATCTCCACTGCCTCCAGCCTTCTCCTCGCTGCAACATTCATCACCCATGCTTCACACCCATATAAGAGCGTTGGTAAAAACTATACTCTCATACATTCCCCTCTTTGCCTCCAAGGACAAAGTTCTTTGTCTCCACAGACTCCTAAGTGCACCACTCACTCTTTTTCCCTCATCAATTCTATGATTCACCTCATCTTTCATAGACCCATCCGCTGACACGTCCACTCCCAAATATCTGAATACATTCACCTCCTCCATACTCTCTCCCTCCAATCTGATATTCAATCTTTCATCACCTAATCTTTTTGTTATCCTCATAACCTTACTCTTTCCTGTATTCACCTTTAATTTTCTTCTTTTGCACACCCTACCAAATTCATCCACCAATCTCTGCAACTTCTCTTCAGAATCTCCAAGAGCACAGTGTCATCAGCAAAGAGCAGCTGTGACAATCCCACTTTGTGTGTGATTCTTTATCTTTTAACTCCACGCCTCTTGTCAAGACCCTCGCAGTTACTTCTCTTACAACCCCATCTATAAATATATTAAACAACCACGGTGACATCACACATCCTTGTCTAAGGCCTACTTTTACTGGGAAATAATTTCCCTCTTTCCTACATACTCTAACTTGAGCCTCACTATCCTCGTAAAAACTCTTCACTGCTTTCAGTAACCTACCTCCTACACCATACACTTGCAACATCTGCCACATTGCCCCCCTATCCACCCTGTCATACGCCTTTTCCAAATCCATAAATGCCACAAAGACCTCTTTAGCCTTATCTAAATACTGTTCACTTATATGTTTCACTGTAAACACCTGGTCCACACACCCCCTACCTTTCCTAAAGCCTCCTTGTTCATCTGCTATCCTATTCTCCGTCTTACTCTTAATTCTTTCAATAATAACTCTACCATACACTTTACCAGGTATACCAGGTTTACCTGTAATGTGTTTACATTATCATATATTAAGTGCTCACAGTTAGACATATATACTGATAAAAAATTAAAATAAATACACAGTACATACATCCAACACTTACCTTAAAATATGGTGCTGGTCTCTCTCCCCTTACACAAATGGTGTGCAAAAATGGCAGAACAGTGGTAAGAGCACCAAACATAATGAAAGCCAATGAAAAAGTGAAACACCGAAAAGAGGTGCCGAATATGTGGGGCTCTCCTGTATATGGTAAAAGAACTTAGCCTGGATTACAGAAGTTTACTGACACTAAATTTAAAAATTTAAAGCACAAGCTCCCTTAAAACAGAGTACTGAACCTCTCTATCTCTCAACTGTAGTGGAGTTACCATTACCTGCTTTGTTATGACAAGTTTGTTTATTTTAATATAACTAATAATTTTAGGTACAAGGTAGTTGAGTAAAGCTGGTTTATACTAATACAAGACAAATATTCTTGATATTGTCTTACCTGCTCCCATACCAGCCAAAAAAGCACACCCCAGAGCTGAAACATCTATGGATTTTGGTCTCTCTAGTTTCTTTCCAGTCAATGTGGCGATCATTTGCATCAAGAAGTCATTCTGTGCAACACCCCCATCGACTCTGAGGGGTAAATTTTCACTTCATGCCGTGATAAAAGTGCATCACATCAGGGTACACAAATTAACACCAAAAATTAAAACACAAACATTTATTTATAATGGAATGATACCATACAATGCAAAGATGAGTCAACAAGTTATTAAATGCAAATATGGGATAAGCAAAAGAAAGTTATTTGTGATGAAGTATTGATGAGGAAGGGTGGAGATGATTTTTTAAAACAAAATAATAAATATATAAATTTTAACAGTGCAATATGAATAGCAATTGGTGATATAATGAAAATGTGAAAAGAAAGGATTTGATGAATAGAGGATAAAACAATCAAAATCAATATTAATGGTAAAACCATTTTTATAGTTAGCAGTTATATACAGAAAGGCAATATTAATTAGAAATTAGATTAAGGGGATGTTTTAATATGCCACATTCAAAATTCAATGAGCAGTTGAGACATGTTACAGTGCAAAGCAAACAATGATCAGCAGTAATTTAAACAAAACAATTTTAGATTGCAATTATCAGCCACAAGAAGCAGACAGTGAAAGAATGTTGTGTAGATACATATATAATATCCCCCCATATCAAAGCAAGCAACATTAATGAATCAAAAAGCACAATTATTAAAAAATAAAATATATACAATTATAAAAACACATGCATTTTAAAAAAAATATAGACCATTTAAATAAAACCAATACATACATAACTCATTTTCAAAAAAATTAATACATGAATGCCAAACATTTACATACAGAGCATATTGATTTTATATATATTTAGATCCATGTAAGATAGGCTGAGTTTGAGATAATTTAATTACATAGCCACATATACCCACAGTAGTATAGAGATGATGGGAAAGCCACGAAGAGCGGTAATTCATCCGAAGAGATACAGCAGCAGCGTCACCAGAGAAGAAAGAAGAAAAGGGAAAATACAGCTTAAAATTTACTTGGAACATTACCCAACCACAATTAAAAACAGTATTACATAATAACCTAATAATCTTTGCAAAGATAATGTTAAGTTACTGTACATAAAAGAGATTTAAAAGTACTGCACAAAAATGCTAACAAAAATTATATATACAGTATGTATGTTAAACTGTTGTATACTGCACCACATACTCATGAATTATAGTCAAGTACTATAGTGTTGTTTTTGTGAATAATTTAAAACCGACTACTCGACTGATATTTGTAATAATGACAATATGAGATTATATCACTGCTTCTGTTATCTTCACAAACTCATTTTCATTAGCAGCACTTTTAGCAGCACCATTCCCATATTCACCATCATTCATTCTGTGTCATTCCATAAGTGTTATGAACATCACAATGACCTACCAGTGTGCAACCTTTGATTAAGGTGTCCAGTACAGTAAAACCTTGATTTAACAAACTCAAATTATATGTGCTTCAGATTTAACAAAAAAATCTGTGGTCAGACAACATACGAAGGTAAGAGACAACCTGTTAAATACAGATTTGTTCGTTATTCTTAAGGTTGGCTGGGTAAATTTATCTTTGAATTTAATGAACAAAGTTCATTAAATTATGAGTGTCAGTTATTTTTACAAATGATTCCAGATTTAATGGATGTCTTTAAATCCAAAATTGTCCGTTATTTTTGTCCATTACTTTTTATCTTCAGATTTAATGGACTAAATGTCTTAAATGTGGAACTGTCTGTTACTCTCATACCATGGAAAATATTCTCAAAATTTGGATTCAAAGCACAATCAGCTTTAACACCCCCTTCCTCCTCTATTAGTCTGTTATCTCCCGGCTTCACTGCCAATTAAGGGCTTTCTATTCCAAACAAGAGTATTTAAAGATATGAATATCTTTAAATATAGTGACGGTATTTTAGGTAGTAGGTTGGTAAACAGCAACCACCAAGGGAGGTATTACCATCCTGCCAAGTGAGTGTGAAACAGACACCTGCAATTGATTTACAAGTTCGTAAGATTCCTGGTGTCATAAAAACATGGGATAACAGGTATATCTTGCTACTTCTACTTACACTTAGGTCACACTACACATACATGTACAAGCATATATATACACACCCCTCTGGCATTTTCTTCTATTTTCTTTCTAGTTCTTGTTCTTATTTATTTCCTCTTATCTCCATGGGGAAGTGGAACAGAATTCTTCCTCCGTAAGCCATGCGTGTTGTAAGAGGCGACTAAAATGCCGAGAGCAAGGGGCTAGTAACCCCTTCTCCTGTATAAGTTACTAAATTTAAAAAGAGAAACTTTTGTTTTTCTTTTTGGGCCACCCTGCCTCGTTGGGATACGGCCGGTTTGTTGAAAGAAGAAGATATATATATATCTTTCTTTCAACACACTGGCCGTATCCCACCGAGGCGGGCAGGCCCAAAAAGAAAAACGAAAGTTTCTCTTTTAAATTTAGTAATTTATACGGGAGAAGGGGTTACTAGCCCCTTGCTCCCGGCATTTTAGTCGCCTCTTACAACACGCATGGCTTGCGGAGGAAGAATTCTGTTCCACTTCCCCATGGAGATGAGAGGAAATAAACAAGAACAAAAACTAGAAAGAAAATAGAAGAATACCCAGAGGGGTGTGTATATATATGCTTGTACATGTATGTGTAGTGTGACCTAAGTGCAAGTAGAAGTAGCAAGACATACTTGAAATCTTGCAGACAAAAGACACCAGAAATCCTACCATCATGTTAAACAATTACAGGTTTTCGTTGTACACTCACTTGGCAGGACGGTAGTACCTCCCTGGGCGGTTGCTGTTTACCAACCTACTACCTAGAATATATATATGGTTATAGGAGGGTGGGGGCAGGAGGAAAGAGGAGTGATTGGTGGAATGGTGAAGTAAAAGGTGTGATAAAAGAGAAAAAGTTAGCTTATGAGAGGTTTTTACAAAGCAGAAATGTTATAAGAAGAGCAAAGTATATGGAGAGTAAAAGAAAGGTGAAGAGAGTGGTGAGAGAGTGCAAAAGGAGAGCAGATGATAGAGTGGGAGAGGCACTGTCAAGAAATTTTAATGAAAATAGAAAAAATTTGTGGAGTGAGTTAAACAAGTTAAGAAAGCTTAGGGAAAGTATGGATTTGTCAGTTAAAACAGAGTAGGGGAGTTAGTAGATGGGGAGAGGGAGGTATTAGGTAGATGGCGAGAATATTTTGAGGAACTTTTAAATGTTGAGGAAGAAAGGGAGGCGGTAATTTCATGCACTGGCCAGGGAGGTATACTATCTTTTAGGAGTGAAGAAGAGCAGAATGTAAGTGTGGGGGAGGTACGTGAGGCATTACGTAGAATGAAAGGGGGAAAAGCAGCTGAAACTGATGGGATCATGACAGAAATGTTAAAAGCAGGGGGGGATATAGTGTTGGAGTGGTTGGTACTTTTGTTTAATAAATGAATGAAAGAGGAGAAGGTACCTAGGGATTGGCAGAGAGCATGTATAGTCCCTTTATATAAAGGGAAGGGGGACAAAAGAGATTGTAAAAATTATAGAGGAATAAGTTTACTGAGTATACCAGGAAAAGTGTACGGTAGGGTTATTATTGAAAGAATTAAGAGGTAAGACAGAAAGTAGGATTGTGGATGAGCAAGGACATTTTAGAGTGGGTAGGGGATGTGTAGATCAAGTGTTTACATTGAACCATATATTTTTTTTTTTTTTTTTTTTTTTTTTCAACAAGTCGGCCGTCTCCCACCGAGGCAGGGTGACCCAAAAAAGAAAGAAAATCCCCAAAAAGAAAATACTTTCATCATCATTCAACACTTTCACCACACTCGCACATTATCACTGTTTTTGCAGAGGTGCTCAGAATACAACAGTCTAGAAGCATACACATATAAAGATACACAACATATCCCTCCAAACTGCCAATATCCCAAACTCCTCCTTTAAAGTGCAGGCATTGTACTTCCCATTTCCAGGACTCAAGTCCGACTATATGAAAATAACCGGTTTCCCTGAATTTTTTTTTTTTTTTTTTTTTTCAACAAGTCGGCCGTCTCCCACCGAGGCAGGGTGACCCAAAAAAGAAGAAAATCCCAAAAAGAAAATACTTTTCATCATCATTAAAACACTTCACCACACTCGCACATTATCACTGTTTTTGCAGAGGTGCTCAGAATACAACAGTCTAGAAGCATAAACATATAAAGATACACAACATATCCCTCCAAACTGCAATATCCCAAATATCCCTAAATTTCCCTTCACTAAATATTACCCTGCTCACACTCAACAGATCGTCAGGTCCCAAGTACCATTCTTTCTCCATTCACTCCTATCTAACACGCTCACTCCCGCTTGCTGGAAGTCCAGCCCTTACCCACAAAACCCCCTTTTACCCCTCTCTCCAACCTTTCGAGGACGACCCTACCCCGCCTTCCTTCCCCTATAGATTTTATATGCTTCCATGTCATTCTACTGTGATCCATTCTCTCTAAAACCAAACCACCTCAAAAACCCCCTCTTCTGCCCTCTGACTAATACTTTTTTTTAACTCCACCCCCTTCTCCTAATTTCCACCTCCGAATTTTCTGCATAATATTTCACCAACACATTGCCCTTAAACAGGACATCTCTGCTGCCCCAACCGTCTCCTCGCTGCTGCATTTACCACCCAAGCTCACACCCATAAAAGTGTTGGTACTACTATACTTTCATACATTCCCTTCTTTGCCTCCATAGATAACGTTTTTTGACTCCACATATACCTCAACGCACCACTCCACCTTTTTTCCCTCATCAATTCTATGATTTAACCCCATCCTTCATAAAACCATCCGCCGACACGTCAACTCCCAAGATCTGAAAACATTCACTTCTTCCATACTCCTCCTCCCCAATTTGATATCCAATTTTTCTTTATCTAAATCATTTGACACCCTCATCACCTTACTCTTTCTATGTTCACTTTCAACTTTCTACCTTTACACACATTCCCAAATCATCCACTAACCTTTGCAATTTTTCTTTAGAATCTCCCATAAGCCAGTATCATCAGCAAAAAGTAACTGTGTCAATTCCCATTTTGAATTTGATTCCCCCTAATTTAATCCCACCCCTCTCCCAAACACCCTAGCATTTACTTCCTTTTCAACCCCATCTTAAATATATTAAACAACCATGGTGACATTACACATCCCTGTCTAAGACCTACTTTTACCGGGGAATAGTCTCCCTCTATTCTACACACCCTAACCTGAGCTCACATCCTCATAAAAACTCTTTACAGCATTTAATAACTTACCACCTATTCCATATACTTGCAACATCTGCCACATTGCTCCTCTATCCACTCTATCATAGCCTTTTTAAATCCAAAAATTGCAATAAAAAGTTCCCTATCTTTATCTAAATACTGTTCACATATATGCTTCAATGAAAAACCCCTGATCTACACATCCCCTACCACTCTAAAACCTCCTTGCTCATCCGCAATCCTACATTCTGTCTTACCTCTAATTCTTTCAATTATAACCCTACCGTAACTTTTCCTGGTATACTCAGTAAGCTTATTCCCTCTATAATTTTTACAGTCTCTTTTGTCCCCTTTCCCCTTTATAAAAAGGGACTATACATGCTCTCTGCCAATCCCTGGGTTTACCTTCCCTCTTTCATACATTTATTAAACAAAAGTACCAACCACTCCAACACTATATCCCACCTGTTTTTTAACATTTCTGTCATGATCCCATCAGTTCCAGCTGCTTTACCCCCTTTCATTTTACGTAATGCCTCACGTACCTCCCCCACACTTACATTCTGCTCTTCTTCCACTCCTAAAAGATGGTTTTACCTCCCTGACCAGTGCATGAAATTACTGCCTCTGTTTCTTCCTTAAAAATTTAAAAGTTCCTCAAAATATTCTCGCCATCTACCCAATACCTCCATCTCCCCCTTACTAACTCCCTACTCTGTTTTTAACTGCAAATCCATATTTTCCCCAGGCTTTCTTAACTTGTTTAACTCACTCCAAATTTTTTCTTATTTTCATTAAAATTTCTTGACAATGCCTCTCCACTCTATCATCTGCTCTCCTTTTGCACTCTCTCACCACTCTCTTTACCTTTCTTTTACTCTCCATATACTCTGCTCTTCTTATAACACTTCTGCTTTGTAAAAACCTCTCATAAGCTACCTTTTTCTCTTTTATCACACCCTTTACTTCATCATTCCACCAATCACTCCTCTTTCCTCCTGCCCCCACCCTCCTATAACCACAAACTTCTGCCCCACATTCTAATACTGCATTTTTAAAACTATTCCAACCCTCTTCAACCCCCCCACATATATGTGAACAGTATTTAGATAAAGGTAGGGAAGTTTTTATTGCATTTATGGATTTAGAAAAGGCATATGATAGAGTGGATAGGGGAGCAATGTGGCAGATGTTGCAAGTACGTATATGGAATAGTTGGTAAATTACTAAATGCTGTAAAGAGTTTTTATGAGGATAGTGAGGCTCAGGTTAGGGTGTGTAGAAGAGAGGGAGAATACTTCCCGGTAAAAGTAGGTCTTAGACTGGGATGTGTAATATCACCATGGTTGTTTAATATATTTATAGATGGGGCTGTAAAAGAAGTAAATGCTAGGGTGTTCGGGAGAGGGGTGGGATTAAATTATGGGGAATCAAATACAAAATGGGAATTGACACAGTTACTTTTTGCCGATGATACTGTGCTTATGGGAGATTCTAAAGAAAAATTGCAAAGGTTAGTGGATGAGTTTGGGAGTGTGTGTAAAGGTAGAAAGTTGAAAGTGAACATAGAAAAGAGTAAGGTGATGAGGGTATCTGTCTCATTTATGAGACAGAAAAAAAGACACCAGCAATCCTACCATCATGTAAAACAATTACAGGCTTTCATTTTACACTCACTTGGCAGGACGGTAGTGCCTCCCTGAGCGGTTGCTGTCTACCAACCTACTACTAAGACAACAAAATTTATGTCTTTTTTTTCTTTTCACAGGTGTGAGAGCCAGAGCAAATGTTATTGTGTCAGTATTTCATAAATATTTATCTAATGGTATGAAAACTAAAATTTATAAGAAGAAAAAATAATCTGAGAAATCCACTGAAGTCACTTAAAAAAGCATTGTATGGTTAGGTTAAGTTTCAAGTCACAGATGCCTGCTCCAAAGTTTAAGAAGCTGTATTTACTTAAATATTGCTTTAATAGCATCATGGCTATGAGGAAAATCAGCATGTTTCACCTCAAACTGACCTTCACTGGTGAGAGTTCCTAATTTTGGAGTGGAATGGTAGTTTGAAACTATGGTATTCATTGGTACATCCAGAATGTATATATACTTTCTTCAGGAATGCATCTCTGATTTTATAATGGTATTTTTGGCAGATTTAAAGAACCCAGTGCAAATTAACTTACAGAATGGCTTTTGTGAAACATTTTTGTCATTAAGAAGGGGTGACCTGTACTGGACTACCTAAAAGTTCACAACTATATTTAGTGGTCAATTATCCACAAATAAAATATCATGATTTATATGAATAATAGAAAGGTAGGCAGCAATATGTCCAATAAAAATTACCATGAATACAATCAGACGACACAATATTAACATCTAAGGTACAAGACACTCTACCGTACCTAATTTAACACACTATGGTGAAGGTGATGTGTGTAATGGTGGACAAAGACTTCACTGGTTGGTGTGTCCAGACTTCAACTTACGAGTTTCTTTACAATTTCTTCTTCAATTTATTAGCATTTACTTTACTACTTGGTGCATACATTTGGCAGTGATTTTACTATATCCCTGATTTGGATCTACATATACATTTTTTGCTAAAAGGCTGTTTTCTTTTAATTACTACATAGCAACTACTTTTTTCTCTATGCAGGCAGCAGCAGATGCACTAACTTTAAATTTACTAGAAAATGTTGCAATGCTCAGATCAAGACAATATTAAAAAATATTTTGTTGCACATCAATTTTGCATATACGTAAAATATAAAAAGGTTATAGAGGAAAAAATATGCTTAGCATAATTATAACTTCATACCTGAGATGAAGAAGATCGTAGTCTGCTTCCTTAAGCATAGCACTATACATCTGGTATATACGAAATGCAAGAGACTCTAGCATAGCCCGTACCATATGTGCACGGCTGGTATCAGCACTAAGGCCAAGGAAGCCACCTGTAGCTCGGGCATCATTCAAGGGTGCCTGGGAAACGTGGTCTAGCTGTGATACAAGTTACTACTGAAACTAGAAAGGGTTCTAGTGTGATAAATGATGGACTATATAGTTATCCATTGAACCCAACTATCATGTATATTTGTAACACACTAGACTACTTACATCCTAACTGTCATGTATGGCTGTAAAAACTAGCCTCCTCAGAAAATGACAAGTCAAACCAAACAGAAGAAGAGCCAGATGATTTAGGAAGTAGAATTATACAAAGAAACTGAGATGGAGAGAAAAATTATTGAAAAATCAACTGCAATGTTATGATTATGCATTTTACATAGAATAAATCACAGCAAAGACTAAGTTGTCCACTATATAATGCAGGTCTAGAAGAAAAAATTCAGCTACTGACCAAAATATTACAGGGATTAGAGATCAAAAGTGCCAGTAAAGATATAGGGTGACAGTTTATTCCATAAAATGACTGATGGATGGAAAAATGCACACTGAATTGTGTCCATGTGTGTCAGGAAATGAATGATAGTGAATATGAATGTGAATAAATAAATAATGGAATGATCAATTACAAGAAAAAAAAGGCTTGGCCAGACATGCTTTCCTAAGGTAAACTCTGACTATGTCTATTAAATTAGTCAGAGTACAACACTATTTACTACAAATTCTCTGTTCCTCAGTGTTCCCCTTCCACTGAATATTACTCTAATTCTTTGTCTTCTTTATTGTGTTTGGTCTTTCTGATACCAGTATGTTTATGTTTGCTAATGTTAGGAGAATGTTAAAAAAGGATTAAGGCATCATATTAAGAAGACACTAATCATATAAAGAAGGGATTAATTAGATACAGAAGAGATTAATTAGATAAAGAAGGGACTAGTCATCAGATATAGAAGGGGCTAGTCATCAAATAAAGAAGGGAGTAGTCATCAAATAAAGAAGAGATTAGTCATCAACTAGGTAGTAGGTTGGTAGACAGCAACCACCCAGAGAAGTACTACCGTCCTGCCAGATGACTGTGAAACAGAAACCTGTAACTGTTTTGCATGATGGTAGGATTGCTGGTGTCTTTTTCTGTCTCATAAACACACTAGATAACAGGGATATCTTGCTACTCCTACTTACACTTTGGTCACACTTCACAGACACGCACATGCATATATATATACATACATCTAGGTTTTTCTCCTTTTTCTAAATAGCTCTTGTTCTTCTTTATTTCTTCTATTGTCCATGGGGAAGTGGAAAAGAATCTTTCCACTGTAAGCCATGCGTGTCGTATGAGGTGACTAAAATGCTGGGAGCAATGGGCTAGTAACCCCTTCTCCTGTAAACATTTACTAAAAAAGAGAAGAAGAAAAACTTTATAAAACTGGGATGCTTGAATGTGCATGGATGTAGTGCGGATGACAAGAAACAGATGATTGCTGATGTTATGAATGAAAAGAAGTTGGATGTCCTGGCCCTAAGCGAAACAAAGCTGAAGGGGGTAGGGGAGTTTCGGTGGGGGGAAATAAATGGGCTTAAATCTGGAGTATCTGAGAGAGTTAGAGCTAAGGATGGGGTAGCGATAATGTTGAAGGACCAGTTATGGAAGGAGAAAAGAGAATATGAATGTGTAAATTCAAGGATTATGTGGATTAAAGTAAAGGTTGGATGCAAAAAGTGGGTCACAATAAGCTTATATGCACCTGGAGAAGAGAGGAATGTAGAGGAGAGAGAGAGATTTTGGGAGATGTTAAGTGAATGTATAGGAACCTTTGAACTAAGTGAGAGAGTAATTGTGGTAGGGGACCTGAATGCTAAAGTAGGAGAAACTTTTAGAGAGGGTGTGGTAGGTAAGTTTGGGGTGCCAGGTGTAAATGAAAATGGGAGCCCTTTGATTGAACTTTGTATAGAAAGGGGTTTAGTTATAGGTAATACATATTTTAAGAAAAAGAGGATAAATAAGTATACAAGATATGATGTAGGGCAAAATGACAGTAGTTTGTTGGATTATGTATTAGTAGATAAAAGACTGTTGAGTAGACTTCAGGATGTACATGTTTATAGAGGGGCCACAGATATATCAGATCACTTTTTAGTTGTAGCTACACTGAGAGTAAAAGGTAGATGGGATACAAGGAGAACAGAAGCATCAGGGAAGAGAGAGGTGAAGGTTTATAAACTAAAAGAGGAGGCAGTTAGGGTAAGATATAAACAGCTATTGGAGGATAGATGGGTTAATGAGAGCATAGGCAATGGGGTCGAAGAGGTATGAGGTAGGTTTAAAAATGTAGTGTTAGAGTGTTCAGCAGAAGTTTGTGGTTACAGGAAAGTGGGTGCGGGAGGGAAGAGGATCGATTGGTGGAATGATGATGTAAAAGTAGAAGTGATGCAAGGAGGGAAGAGTATATGGAGAAAAAGAGAGAGGTTAAGAGAGTGGTGAAGCAATGTAAAAAGAGGAAATGAGAGAGTGGGTGAGACGTTATCAACAAATTTTGTTGAAAATAAGAAAAAGTTTTGGAGTGAGATTAACAAGTTAAGGAAGCCTAGAGAACAAATGGATTTGTCAGTTAAAAATAGGAGAGGAGAGTTATTAAATGGAGAGTTAGAGGTATTGGGAAGATGGAGGGAATATTTTGAGGAATTGTTAAATGTTGATGAAGATAGGGAAGCTGTGATTTCATGTATAGGGCAAGGAGGAATAACATCTTGTAGGAGTGAGGAAGAGCCAGTTGTGAGTGTGGGAGAAGTTCGTGAGGCAGTAGGTAAAATGAAAGGGGGTAAGGCAGCTGGGAGTGATGGGATAAAGATAGAAATGTTAAAAGTAGGTGGGGATATAGTTTTGGAGTGGTTGGTGCTATTATTTAATAAATGTATGGAAGAGGGTAAGGTACCTAGGGATTGGCAGAGAGCATGCATAGTTCCTTTGTATAAAGGTAAAGGAGACAAAGAAGAGTGCAAAAATTATAGGGGGATAAGTCTGTTGAGTATACCTGGTAAAGTGTATGGTAGAGTTATTATTGAAAGAATTAAGAGTAAGACGGAGAACAGGATAGCAGATGAACAAGGAGGCTTTAGGAAAGGTAGGGGGTGTGTGGACCAGGTGTTTACAGTGAAACATATAATATTTTATTTTTTTTTATTATCACACTGGCCGATTCCCACCAAGGCAGGGTGGCCCGAAAAAGAAAAACTTTCACCATCATTCACTCCATCACTGTCTTGCCAGAAGGGTGCTTTACACTACAGTTTTTAAACTGCAACATTAACACCCCTCCTTCAGAGTGCAGGCACTGTACTTCCCATCTCCAGGACTCAAGTCCGGCCTGCCGGTTTCCCTGAACCCCTTCATAAATGTTACTTTGCTCACACTCCAACAGCACGTCAAGTATTAAAAACCATTTGTCTCCATTCACTCCTACCAAACACGCTCACGCATGCCTGCTGGAAGTCCAAGCCCCTCGCACACAAAACCTCCTTTACCCCCTCCCTCCAACCTTTCCTAGGCCGACCCCTACCCCGCCTTCCTTCCACTACAGACTGATACACTCTTGAAGTTATTCTGTTTCGCTCCATTCTCTCCACATGTCCGAACCACCTCAACAACCCTTCCTCAGCCCTCTGGACAACAGTTTTGGTAATCCCGCACCTCCTCCTAACTTCCAAACTATGAATTCTCTGCATTATATTCACACCACACATTGCTCTCAGACATGACATCTCCACTGCCTCCAGCCTTCTCCTCGCTGCAACATTCATCACCCATGCTTCACACCCATATAAGAGCGTTGGTAAAACTATACTCTCATACATTCCCTCTTTGCCTCCAAGGACAAAGTTCTTTGTCTCCACAGACTCCTAAGTGCACCACTCACCCTTTTCCCCTCATCAATTCTATGATTCACCTCATCTTTCATAGACCCATCCGCTGACACGTCCACTCCCAAATATCTGAATACATTCACCTCCTCCATACTCTCTCCCTCCAATCTGATATCCAGTCTTTCATCACCTAATTTTTTTGTTATCCTCATAACCTTACTCTTTCCTGTATTCACTTTCAATTTTCTTCTTTTGCACACCCTACCAAATTCATCCACCAATCCCTGCAACTTCTCTTCAGAATCTCCCAAGAGCACAGTGTCATCAGCAAAGAGCAACTGTGACAACTCCCACTTTATGTGTGATTCTTTATCTTTTAACTCCACGCCTCTTGCCAAGACCCTCGCATTTACATCTCTTACAACCCCATCTATAAATATATTAAACAACCACGATGACATCACACATCCTTGTCTAAGGCCTACTTTTACTGGGAAATAATTTCCCTCTTTCCTACATACTCTAACTTGAGCCTCACTATCCTCGTAAAAACTCTTCACTGCTTTCAGTAACCTACCTCCTACACCATACACCTGCAACATCTGCCACATTGCCCCCCTATCCACCCTGTCATACGCCTTTTCCAAATCCATAAATGCCACAAAGACCTCTTTAGCCTTATCTAAATACTGTTCACTTATATGTTTCACTGTAAACACCTGGTCCACACACCCCCTACCTTTCCTAAAGCCTCCTTGTTCATCTGCTATCCTATTCTCCGTCTTACTCTTAATTCTTTCAATAATAACTCTACCATACACTTTGCCAGGTACACTCAACAGACTTATCCCCCTATAATTTTTGCACTCTCTTTTATCCCCTTTGCCTTTATACAAAGGAACTATGCATGCTCTCTGCCAAAGAGGTTTTTTGTGGCATTTATGGATTTGGAAAAGGCGTACAACAGGGTGGATAGGGGGGCAATGTGGCAGATGTTGCAGGTGTATGGTATAGGAGGTAGGTTACTGAAAGCAGTGAAGAGTTTTTATGAGGATAGTGAGGCTCAAGTTAGAGTAAGTAGGAAAGAGGGAGATTATTTCCCAGTAAAAGTAGGCTTTAGACAAGGATGTGTGATGTCACCATGGTTGTTTAATATATTTATAGATGGGATTGTAAGAGAAGTAAATGCGAGGGTCTTGGCAAGAGGCGTGGAGTTAAAAGATAAAGAATCACACATAAAGTGGGAGTTGTCACAGTTGCTCTTTGCTGATGACACTGTGCTCTTGGGAGATTCTGAAGAGAAGTTGCATAGGTTGGTGGATGAATTTGGCAGGGTATGTAAAAGAAAAGAATGAATGTAAAAGAAGAAAATTAAAAGTGAATACAGGAAAGAGTAAGGTTATGAGGATAACAAAAAGATTAGGTGATGAAAGATTGGATATCAGATTGGAGGGAGAGAGTATGGAGGAGGTGAATGTATTCAGATATTTGGGAGTGGACGTGTCAGCGGATGGGTCTATGAAAGATGAGGTGAATCATAGAATTGATGAGGGGAAAAGGGTGAGCGGTGCACTTAGGAGTCTGTGGAGACAAAGAACTTTGCCCTTGGAGGCAAAGAGGGGAATGTATGAGAGTATAGTTTTACCAACGCTCTTATATGGGTGTGAAGCATGGGTGATGAATGTTGCAGCGAGGAGAAGGCTGGAGGCAGTGGAGATGTCATGTCTGAGGGCAATGTGTGGTGTGAATATAATACAGAGAATTCATAGTTTGGAAGTTAGGAGGAGGTGCGGGATTACCAAAACAGTTGTCCAGAGGGCTGAGGAAGGGTTATTGAGGTGGTTCGGACATGTAGAGAGAATGGAGCGAAACAGAATGACTTCAAGAGTGTATCAGTCTGTAGTGGAAGGAAGGCGGGGTAGGGGTTGGCCTAGAAAAGGTTGGAGGGAGGGGGTAAAGGAGGTTTTGTGTGTGAGGGGCTTGGACTTCCAGCGGGCATGTGTGAGTGTGTTTGATAGTAGTGAATGGAGACAAATGGTTTTTAATACTTGACATGCTGTTGGAGTGTGAGCAAAGTAACATTTATGAAGGGATTCAGGGAAACCGGCAGGCTGGACTTGAGTCCTGGAGATGGGAAGTACAGTGCCTGCACTCTGAAGGAGGGGTGTTAATGTTGCAGTTTAAAAACTGTAGTGTAAAGCACCCTTCTGGCAAGACAGTGATGGAGTGAATGATGGTGAAAATTTTTCTTTTTCGGGCCACCCTGCCTTGGTGGGAATCGGCCAGTGTGTTAATAATAAATTAGTCATCAAATAAGATAAAATTATAGCATTAATTAGTAAACAATTATAATAAACTCTAACCTAAATTTTCATAAATCTTGTGTGCTACATATTGCCCACTTCCTTACTATACCAAGATAATACTGCTTCTATGTTCTGTATATAGGAATACTGGAATAAAGACATTAAAGCATTAATTGAGGCATTTCTCATAAAGAGCACCTACAGATAACTTAAAGCATTTAATGAATAAATCAAAAGTATACCTGAATTCCTTGGAATGCAGGAATGAAGAATACAGTGTTTGGACCTTTCACTGAATTTGCCATTTCTGATGTTACTGAAGCGTTGTCATACAAACCTGCAATAATGGTACCTTATTACTTTACTGCTAATCTATAGCTGGTGTCTAATTTGAAACAAAGTTTTTAACTACATCAGTGACCCCAAAAATGGAAACATTCAACATCATTCACTCAATAATTATATTGCCTCTAATTCTTCCTTTGATGTCTCTTATACTCTCCTTCCAGCCACCCCAAACTTATACAATCTCACAATCTCTTTACCAAGCTACGAGCTATCTTGCTTAATCTTTGTACATGACCAACAATATACCACCACACCTGGTGATCTTGGACCAGGCCGCAGGGCCATTGACCCCCGGAACACCCTCCAGGTAGGCACCATTTTTTAATGTCATCACTATTCTTTTCATAACACTAACATCGGAAACTGATCTCTGACAAAACATCTCTTAAGTATTTCATCTTGTTTTTTATTGCAACATTAATGACATCCAAAACTGTCACCACCAACAACAAATGACAAAATTCCTATTTTTTATCAACTAACATTTTTATTGAAATTCCTCTGTTCTGTGACTAGCTCAGTTCTTCACAGAACAATCTGCTGATACATATACTTTTTTTCTTTAATGAACTGTCCGTATCCCACCAAGGCAGGGTGACCTAAAAAGAAGGACGAGTTTCTTTTTTCAAATTTAGTCATGTACTATAAAGGAGAAGGGGTTACTAGCCCCTTGCTCCCGACACTTTAGTCACCTCTTATGACACGCATGGCTTACGGAGGAAGAATTCTGTTCCACTTTCCCATGGAGAGATACATATACACTGTTATATAAATAAATACAGTACAAGTCCACATTTCTTCTTCCAAAATTCTGAAATTCGAAAAGTTCCGAAAGCCAAAGTTTTTTCGTGGAGTGTGGAGTGTCAGTCATCTCTACATAACTCAGGGGTCAGTTGTGTCTCAGCACTTGTAGTGTTCACACATGCATCTGCTGTTCACTGATATTTTGTTTTTGCTTTTTATTTTGTGACTTTGGCCTAAAACAATCTTTGATGTAAATAAACCTACAGATGAAGACTTTGAAGGATTTCATGTCACTGATTTCCACAAACACATTTCCTTACACCTGCTACCCCTGTTCACCTAGCACTAAGTAGGTACCTGGATGTTAGTCGACTGTTGTGGGTGGCATCCTGGGGGACAAGATTAACCTAAGTTGCCTGAAATGTTCTGCATAACGAGGAGCTTTCCAGTATGCCAACAGTGTTACCTAAGTCTGTATCACTTGAATAACGTACTTTTAGAAAAAAATTATTATTATTATTATTATTATTATTATTATTATTACAATTTGATTGTTACATTGCAAGGACAAAATTAAGCTAAGGAAATGGCATGTGCAAACACTTAGGAAATTTATTGGAAACATTTTGAAGTCGAAATGCTGTTCACTCGTATTATACAACAATAGAGGAAACACGGTACATAAAACCAAGGTGGAGGACCACCAACAAACCCTTAGCTGTCTTGAAGAGGGAACTCGACTGATTCCTCAAAACAGTTCCTGATCAACCAGGATGTGGTGCGTATGTTGGACTGCAGGTGGTGGGCACTAACAGCTTGATCAAGCAGACCAGCCACTAGGAGGCCTGGTCTGGGACCGGGCAGCGGGGGCAACGATCTCTGGAAGCAACTCCAGATAAAGGTACAAGTGAAGGAAGGTTGGGTTAGGTATAAACACTTGTGCAACAGTTGAGTGTCTTTGTTGATGAAGCATTTGGCCTGCATAGTGGACTTCTTCAGTCAAGTGCAAAGGGAGCACTAGTAATGAAATAAAGATGATGTACATGTAATCAGTCCATTTACCTTTGAGAAGGGGTAGTTGAGGTGGTCAGTCCCTCAGCCTGGAGAAGAGTTCAGCTCCATGGACTGACCACCTCAAATACTTTTTCTCCAAGGTTGATGGACTGATGGCATCAATATTTCATTAATGCTGCTCTCTATGCATTTGACTGAGGAAGCCTGCTGTGCGGGCAGAGCATTTCAACAATGAAGATACTCAACTGCTGCAAATGCCTTAATCTTCAACTTGTCACTATTTTATACCATTTTCAACAATAGGTATAAGCAGTAGTCAAGTCAGGTTAAGCTGCCCCTTCCATAAATGGATGTGACCTGGCCCGACTAGGTGGGTCACTGGTTTAAGCCGGGAGGTGCTTTGGACCTACCTCGCATGGAATCATGTTCCTGGTCTATAATTATCTCATTATTTCATTTATCGATATATTACTCTATAAATATGTAAACCGTAGTAGTATTTGCAGTCTTTATTTAACCCACTTAGTGTGAGTATTCATACGTTTTTGCTGCAGTGTTGATGTTTGATTATGGGGTGCTGCCCTAGACCCCACCTTCATTCTGAAATTCAAAATATTCTGAAATTCGAAACATTACTGGCTCCAGGGGTTTCAGATAAAGGAATATGGACCTGTACTATTCACTTACTTCAGATCTTCTTCATGCTATTCTGACTTTTACTCTTTAATTTCCTAAATGTTCTTTGTATTTGTTCTTGTCACTATATTCTTCTGTACTCACTTTCACGATATTTCTTTTTATACATTGTTTCAAATGCCGTTCTCCATCTCTGAAGCTTTTCTTTATACTCTCCCATGAATAATGAGCCCATGGTCCTGCAATTCCTTGTATAGGACTTCATTATTTTTTCCACTAACACCTTGCCTTCCTCTAAAACATATGATGATGTTGCTTTGATTCCAAGACCATCTGAGTTGTTGAGGTTAAACTGAACCCCAACTTTGAAAAGAGCTACAGAGGCAATATAATTTAAACTATTTTGAATTATACACTACTATGACAAATGCTTACTATGTTGATCTGCTACCCTGGACCTTGTCACCTATACCAATCATATCGTCCCCCAGATCTTTTAAAAACACTTTTAAAAAAGCATAAAATTATATACTAAGTGATTTATAGTTTTTTTTTTTTTCAACAAGTCGGCCGTCTCCCACCGAGGCAGGGTGACCCAAAAAGAAAGAAAATCCCCAAAAAGAAAATACTTTCATCATCATTCAACACTTTCACCACACTCACACATAATCACTGTTTTTGCAGAGGTGCTCAGAGCACAACAGTTTAGAAGTATGTATATACGTATAAAGATACACAACATATCCCTCCAAACTGCTAATATCCCGAACCCCTCCTTTAGAGGGCAGGCATTGTACTTCCCATTTCCAGAACTCAAGTCCGGCTATATAAAAATAACTGGTTTCCCTGAATCCCTTCACTAAATATTACCCTGCTCACACTCCAACAGATCGTCAGGTCCCAAACACCATTCGTCTCCATTCACTCCTATCGAACACGCTCATGCACGCCTGCTGAAAGTCCAAGCCCCTCACCCACAAAACCTCCCTTACCCCTTTCTTCCAACCTTTTCGAGGACGACCCCTACCCCGCCTTCCTTCCCCTACAGATTTAAATGCTCTCCATGTCATTCTACTTTGATCCATTCTCTCTAAATGACAAACCACCTCAACAACCCCTCTTCAGCCCTCTGACTAATACTTTTATTAACTCCACACCTTCTCCTAATTTCCATACTCCGAATTTTCTGCATAATATTTACACCACACATTGCTCTTAGACAGGACATCTCCACTGCCTCCAACCGCCTCCTCGCTGCTGCATTCACAACTCAAGCTTCACACCCATATAAGAGTGTTGGTACCACTATACCTTCATACATTCCCTTCTTTGCCTCCATAGATAACGTTTTTTTGATTCCACATATACCTCAACGCACCACTCACCTTTTTTCCCTCATCAATTCTATGATTAACCTCATCCTTCATTAATCCATCCGCCGACATGTCAACTCATAAATATCTGAAAATATTCACTTCTTCCATACTCCTCCTCCCCAATTTGATATTTATTGTTACAGCATGTAAAAATAGTTCAACAGACTTACCAATTTGTTTGCCCCATTCAATTACAGTACCATTGTCATTTGAAGATGCCTCAGCCATATGTATCAATCCTTCCTTGTCTTTCCATCCATGAACTGGATATATTCCTATAAAAAAAATCATTATCAAAGAGAATGGCATCAATTTCATCAGTTCATTGAGAATCTCAATACTGTGTATTAAATATTTGCACAACAAAAATTACTAGACTTCAAAAGTATCATATGTAATTATTTTATAGGAAACCATTTTCTTTTCTTTATGAAAGATAATATAATCACTTCACCTTCTCACACAATCTTCTGTCATGAGTTCAGCTCACTAAGATAAAGTTTTGAGCAGTAAATTTTGGCCTTGATATGAGAGAATGAATCTGTGTGGTGAGTATGCACAGTATAAATAAAAAAGCTTGCATTATGTGTTGCATGATGGGAAAAGCAAAATTAGTCTTGTTTGGTATAAATGATCAACTTTGAGGTGTTCTCTTGGATGGTTTTTATGGATTGTATTGGCTGTTTCTTGGTATCATTTGATAAAATGGAAGACATACTACTGAAATTGGTTTCAGGACATAAGTAGTTTGAAACTGAATTCAAAGTAGCAAAAAAATTCTATTTTTTGCAGGTATTCCTGAGGAATAGGTAAGGCCATCCCCCCCATTACATTGTTCTCTCTTCTGCTTCGATGGTACGGTTCTCACTATATGCTCTGGTGTAGGGTAGGTCAAAAAATGCCTTATAAACTCTAGGGAAATACTTACATTCATATTTAGACCATCTCCTTTCAGGATAGGTTATTTTAAAACCATTTTACAACAATAATAATATATTAAATGGATAAATATTTACAGCATATACATATGTTAGTCTGGCCCAGCTTTCCACCACATAGTACCTAGTCACATGGTCTCATCTGAAACAATTATTACTCCTTTCTCCTTGATGGCCTTAGCCCCGTGTTTTGACACACTGTAGCCACTTTGGGTATCATTGTTACAGCATCCAAATATTAGTTAAGTATAAATCGTACTTCCTGGGCCACTCACATTTTGCTCAGAAGTAGAGTGGGGTAGTTCTTTCCAGTCTGGGTTCACCACAACAAAAGAGAATGAGTACAGCTGTCTCCTGCTTTTATACCCATAACAACAGAACATCACCATGCACAATTCTTTAACTAATACCATAATTTTGCTTTTCTCCCATTACTATATCTTATTTTACTTTTAAAATACTGTCTTTATAACCTACTTATTTTAACAGTGTGTGTTTTACAACAAAAACCTATTTATATTGAAATATAGGGGTGACTCATCAGGGCTCTCTACATAACAGAATTAAGGCAGATGTGCCCCCCGGCAGTTTAATATAATTAGGCACTTCAAATAATGAGTCTTTTAACTGCTACTTAGCTACATAAATACATTTTGGGTCCTATAACCCCCAGTCTGTTTTATGGGTTTTTAATAGGTCTGATTCAATTTTTGGGATGCCATAAACCACGATCAATCATCCCTGGTTATATTTTATTATCCAGAAAATAGAGTACATTTTCTATTTTTGAGTGATTAAGAATTCAAAATGTAAGGCAAGTGTAATACAGGAGAGGCCTGAGGACATAATTAAGGAACAGAGGAAATGGTGTTTTAGTGCCAGTTATGTCTACATTACTTTTAAATTAGCATTTTTTTTTAACCGTGTGTAAAATTGTGCAAATTATCTAGTTCCGTGCACTTTATAGGGTGGCTGAAATAGTTGAATGGATGGTTTCTTGTGCTCAATAGATAGAACAGAAGGCATACTAGTGAAATAGCAAAGAATTTGATGAATGAAGCAATGGAATTGGCATATAATAGGTCTCAAAGTGGGCAAAATTGACTCAAAGACTGCTAACTTTGCAACTGAGTAATTCTCTACCATTTTAAAAGAATGGACAGTGAAAGGGTAAAATAAAACAATGAGGAATATCACATGCAAGCATGTGTAGAGGTAACTGACTCTAACCTTTGACAGAAGCATGGGCCTTGTTGCCAGTGTTGACATCGAGGAAAGCACCCGTCCCAAGAGAGACCTTGACGTCCCCTCGCTGAAACCCACATGAACCAAACAGGGAAGCACCTTGATCTGACACCTTTAAGGAAAATATATCAATATTAATGATGTAATATTTAAATAAATTTTAAACCAAATCCAGTAACTAGAAAAAATTTTCTACATAATTTGTATACTATTGGTTCATATCTTTCCAGGTATTTAATATTGATGAAACTGTACAACTTTTAAAAGAAAATTGTTATATCATTCATTCATTGCCACCACAGAATGGTATGACTTGAATGCTTTTTATATAAGTCGTCAGTTGCTCTCATTAAGTGTACCAAGTCTTATTCTTATTTTTTACTTCCTGACAATGTTTCCCATTGTTGTATTTTTGTTGATATTTTCTACAGTAGTGACTGTAATGGTTCAAAGCAATGTTTTCCAAGAAGTAAAAATTTTCTTTTTTCAACACATCACCTGTTTCCCACTGAGGCAGGATGACCCAAAAAAGAAACACTCACCAATATTCAACATTTTCACCATCATTCACACATAATCACTGTCTCTGCAGAGGCACTCAGATAAGACAGTTCAGATGTCACTCCAAACAGCTAATATCTCAAACCCCTCTTTTAAACTTCAGGCACTATACTTCCCGCTTCCAGGACTCAAGTCCGGCTAACTGGTTTCCCTGAATCCCTTCGCAAAATATTAGCCTGCTCACACTCCAACAGCTCATCAGGTCCCACAGACCATTCATCTCCATTCACTATCTACCATGCTTACACATGCCTGCTGTATATCCAAGCCCCTTGCACACAAAACCTCTTTCACCCCCTCCCTCCATCTTTTCCTAGGACTATATATACACACTCCAAGTCATCCTATTTTTCTCCATCCTCTCTAATGGCCAAACCAGCTCAACAACTCCTCTTCAGCCTTCTGATTAATACTTCTGGTAACTCCACACCCCCTCATGATTTCCACACTACGAACTCTCTGCATATACTTACACTACACATTGCCCTTAGACACAACGTCTATACTGCCTCCAGCCTCTTTCTTACTGCAGCATTTACAACCTGCTTCACACCAATATAAAGTGTTGGTACCACTATACTCTTGTACATTCCCTTCTTTGCCTCCCATGGATAACATTTTTGTCTCCACAGATACCTCAATGTACCACTCACCTTTTTTCCTTCATAAATTCTATGGTTAACCTCATCCTCCATAAACCCATCCGCTGGCAAGTCAACACCCAAATATCTGAACACAATCACTTCTTCCATACTCCCTCCGACTTTTTCTTTACCTAACTCATTTGATACCCTCATCACCATACTCTTATCCATGTTCACTCTCAACTTTCTTCCTTTACATAATATATTTGAGCTTGGAAGACAAAATTCTTTTTGGCTAAGCAGTAAAGCAGTTTTGTGTATTCAAACGGTGGATAAAACGTGATAGAGCAATGGTTCTTATATTCTGTCTTCAATCACATCAGGTACCCTTCTCATAGATATGAAGAATGTGACTTTCTTTTACAATATGAAGCAAAGCAGTTAGTTTCTCTAATTTCATCCATGATGAACACTAACTCCTGAGCAACAATTTTCTTCATTTTTTACACAAATTATAGAAACTTCAAAAAAGTAAAGGTACTGAAATCAAACAGCCTCCCATAAGCACAACTGCCTCTTGTGAGGTTTTTTTTATTAGAAAGCTGATCAAGAAAGGGAGGTAGAATATTTACCAAAAATGTTTCCTAAGTCATTACCCCTAGTACAACAGGGCCCAAGGTATTTCCACTGAGATGTGTCTCATAATGTATAACTTTCTTTCTTCTTTCAATGTACCAGCCGTATCCCACTGAGGTGGGGTGGCCCAAAAGAAAAAAACAAAAGTTTCTCCTTTTAAATTTAGTAATATATACAGGAGAAGGGGTTACGAGCCCCTTTCTCCCGGCATTTTAGTCACCTCTTACGACACGCATGGCTTACAGAGGAAGAATTCTGTTCCACTTCCCCATGGAGATAAAAGGAAATAAACAAGAACAAGAATTAGAAAGAAAATAGAAGAAAAGCCATAGGGGTGTGTATATATATATGCTTGTACATGTATGTGTAGTGTGACCTAAGTGTAAGTAGAAGTAGCAAGATGTACCTGTAATCATGCATATTTATGAGACAGACAAAAGACACCAGCAATCCTACCATCATGTAAAACAATTACAGGCTTTCGTTTTACACTCACTTGGCAGGACGGTAGTACCTCCCTGGGTGGTTGCTGTCTACCAACCTACTACCTACAACATAATGTATATTTTTTTTTTTTTCAACAAGTCGGCAGTCTCCCACCGAAGCAGGGTGACCCAAAAAGAAAGAAAATCCCCAAAAAGAAAATACTTTCATCATCATTCAACACTTTCACCTCACTCATACATAATCACTGTTTTTGTAGAGGTGCTCAGAACACAACAGTTTAGAAGCATATACATATAAAGATACACAACATATCCCTCCAAACTGCTAATATCCCAAAACCCCTCCTTTAGAGTGCAGGCATTGTACTTCCCATTTGCAGGACTCAAGTCCGGCTATATAAAAATAACCGGTTTCCCTGAATCCCTTCACTAAATATTACCATTAAATATTACTAAATATTTCCTATTTAAAAGACTAAAGCATGCATGACTGGTAATGTATGCAGCATTAATGACCCTCATTTGCCAATCCAAAATGGGAAAAAGAACAGACAGAGGAGACTGTACAATTGTAAGAGAAATCTGTGAAGTATTTTTTATGCACAACTTGGTTCTATATATAAGAAAACACTCAAGAGTAACCAGGCTAAGTGATCAACATTGGTTTATAAATACTGTATATTAGGGAATCAAATGTAAGACACGTAAGCTTACCACTGCTGTGATTGGTACAGGAACTCCGAAAAACTTGGGTGAACACACTCCCCAGTCTCCTACAGAATGCCGCAGCTCTGGGAAAATGCTTCTTGGCATTTTGAAGAGTTTAAGGAAAAACTCATTCCAGTCCTCTATAAAGGGGTCATACAATGCTGTTCCACTAGCATTGGAATAATCAGTAGCGTGAATCTGCCAGAAATCAAATTAATTACCAAAAAACTGCCTCTTAGTTGTTTGAAAATTAATGACAAATCCTCTTTTATAATAATGATACTACTGCTACAGAACTACAACTTGTACTTTAGTAATACGTACTGTTAGTTTTACACAAAAAAGTAGACACAGAACACAGGAATAGAAAGAACATACGGAAAATTTCCAATAAATATACTGCATTATTGTTTTAGTTGATGCAAAAATCACAACCTGCACTTCAGGCATATGTAAAACTTTTTTTTTTTTAACAAGTCGGCTGTCTCCCACTGAGGCAGGGTGACCCAAAAAGAAAGAAAATCCCCAAAAAGAAAGTACTTCCATCATCATTCAACACTTTCACCTCACTCACACATAATCACTGTTTTTGCAGAGGAGCTCAGAATACAACAGTTTAGAAGCATATATGTATAAAGATACACAACATATCCCTCCAAACTACCAATATCCCAAACCCCTCCTATAACCCTTTCAGGGTTTCTGACGTACTAGTACGGCTTACACACCAGGGTTATTGACGGGCTAGTACGCCTAAATTCTAGTGCCTTCAAATCTAGCAAGAGAAAGCTGGTAGGCCTACATATGAAAGAATGGGTCTATGTGGTCAGTGCACGCAGTATAAAAAAAATCCTGCAGCACACAGTGCGTAATAAGAAAAAAAAAACTTTGACCATGTTTTTGGTTTAAAACAGCGACTTTGCACTGTATTTTCGTAAGGTATTTATGGTTGTATTCTAGTTTTCATGGTCTCACTTTATAGAATGGAAGACATATTACAGAAATTGAGATGATTTTCATTGGTATCACAATGAAAAGTACCTTGAAATTGAGCTCAAAGTAGCAGAAATGTTCAAATTTTTGCCGAAGTTCAAAAGTAAACAAATCATGATACACGTCCAAAACACGTCAACTGGTGAGTGTAATATTCTTTCACAAGTGCGCTGATATTATTTATACCATTTCTACACTAATGCAGTAGTCTGCATAACAGTAAAGTCTTCTTTTTTGTGAGAATAAAAATTCAAAGTGGAAGCAAAAGAAATGTAAGAGGGGCGTGGGGACGTGACTAATGAACAAAGGAAATATTATTTTAGTGCCAGGAATGTCTGTCTTGTTTATTCTGAACCCTATTTGGAAATTGGCAACTTTTGAAATTTGTGTGAAACTGGCAAAATTGCTAAATTCTGACCACTTTATTGGATAGTTGAAATCGGTAAATGGGTGGTTTCTTGTACTCATTCGATACAAAAAATGGAGTTCTAGCAAAATAGTTATGATTTTTGTTGACTAGTACACTGGAATTGGCGGAAAATAGGGCTCAAAGTGGGCGAAATCGCCGATGCATAAACATCGTCGAGACTGCTAACTTCGCAAGAGCATAATTCCATAAGTTTTCCATCAAATTTCATACTTTTGGTGTCATTATGATTGGGAAAAGATTATCTTTTCATAAGAAAAAATAATTTTTTTTCCGAAAAATTTTCAACCCTGAGAATAAGTTTAGGAGAGGGCCTCTCGACCCTGAAAGGGTTAAAGTGCAGGCATTGTACTTCCCATTTCCAGGACTCAAGTCCAGCTACATAAAAATAACTGGTTTCCCTGAATCCCTTCACTAAATATTACCCTGCTCACACTCCAACAGTCGTCAGGTCCCAAATACCATTCATCTCCATTCACTCCTATCTAACATGCTCATGCACACTTGCTGGAAGTCCAAGCCCCTCGCCCACAAAACCTCCTTTACCCCCTCCCTCCAACCTTTTCAAGGATGACCACTACCCTGCCTTCTTTCCCCTACAGATTTATACACTCTCCATGTCATTCCACTTTGATCCATTCTCTCTAACTGACCAAACCACCTCAACAACCCCTCTTCAGCCCTCTGCCTAATACTTTCATTAACTACACACCTCCTAATTTCCACACTCCAAATTTTCTGCATAGTATTTACACCACACATTGCCCTTAGACAGGACATCTCCACTGCCTCCAACCGTCTCTTCGCTACAACATTTACAACCCAAGCTTCACACCCATATAAGAGTGTTGGTACTACTATACTTTCATACATTCCCTTCTTTGCCTCTATGGACAGTCTTTGTCTCCACAGACTCCTAATTGCACCACTCACCCTCTTCCCCTCATCAATTCTGTGATTCACCTCATCCTTCATAGACCCATCTGCTGACACGCCAACTCCTAAATATCTGAATACATTCACCTCCTCCATACTCTCTCCCTCCAATTTGATATCCAATCTTTCACCACCTCATCTTTTTATCCTCATAACCTTCCTCTTTCCTATATTCACTTTTAATTTTCTTCTCTTACATACCCTACCAAATTCATCCACAACCTCTGCAACTTCTCTTCAGAATCTCCCAAAAGCACAGTGCCATCAGCAAAGAGCAAGTGTGACAACTCCCACTTTATGTGTGATTCTTTATCTTTTAACTCCACACCTCTTGCCAAGACCCTAGCATTCACTTCTCTTACAACCCCATCTATAAATATATTGAACAACCATGGTGATATCACACATCCTTGTCTAAGGCCTACTTTTACTGGGAAATAATCTCCCTCTCTCCAACATATTCTAACCTGAGCCTCACTATCCTTGTAAAACCTCTTCACTGCTTTCAGTAACCTACCTCCTATACCATACACCTGCAACATCTATGTATTACCATTAATTTATAAAAACAGTTACTTAGGTCATTGATAGGGCTTGTGAGACAGCCAATGCATCAATCAAAATATGAACACATGAAGAATTCTACAAAATATACAGTATTGTACTATACTGCACAAATGTTATTGCTATACGGCTTAACTTAAACAGTTTTAACCCTTTCAGGGTTTCAGAGGTACTAGTACGGCTTACGCACCAGGGTTTTGGACGTACTAGTACGCCTAAATTCTAGTGCCTTCAAATCTAGCAAGAGAAAGCTGGTAGGCGTACATATGAAAGAATGGGTCTATGTGGTCAGTGTGAGCAGTATAAAAAAATCCTGCAGCACACAGTGCGTAATGAGGAAAAAAAACTTTGACCGTGTTTTTGGATTAAAACAGTGACTTTGCACTGTATTTTCGTATGGTATTTATTGTTGTATTCTAGTTTTCTTGGTCTCATTTTATAGAATGGAAGACACATTACAGAAATTGAGATGATTTTGACTGGTTTTACAATGAAAAGTGCTTGAAATTGAGCTCAAAGTAGCAGAAATGTTTGATTTTTACCAAAGTTCAAAAGTAAACAAATCATGCTAAGCGTCTAATACACATCAACGGGTGACCTGGAGTTTACCTGGAGAGAGTTCCGGGGGTCAACGCCCCCGTGGCCCGGTCTGTGACCAGGCTTCTGGTGATCAGAGCCTGATCAACCAGGCTGTTGCTGCTGGCTGCACGCAAACCAATGTACGAGCCACAGCCCGACTGGTCAGGAACCGACTTTAGGTGCTTGTCCAGTGCCAGCTTGAAGACTGCCAGGGGTCTGTTGGTAATCCCCCTTATGTATGCTGGGAGGCAGTTGAACAGTCTCGGGCCCCTGACACTTATTGTATGGTCTCTTAACGTGCTAGTGACACCCCTAATATTCTTTCACAAGTGCGCTGATATTATTTATACCATTTCTACTCTAATGCAGTAGTCTGCATAACAGTAAATCTTCTATTTTTTGTGAGAATAAAAATTCAAAGTGGAAAGCAAAAGAATGTAAGAGGGGCGTGGGGACGTGACTAATGAACAAAGGAAATGTTATTTTAGTGCCAGGAATGTCTTTCTTGTTTATTCTGGACCCTATTTGGAAATTGGCATCTTTTGAAATTTGTGTGAAATTGGCAAAATTGCTAAATTCTGACCACTTTATTGGATAGTTGAAATTGGTAAATGGGCGGTTTTGTGTACTCATTCGATAGAAAAAAATGTAGTTCTAGTGAAATAGTTATGATTTTTGTCAACTAGTACATTGGAATTGGCCGAAAATAGGGCTCAAAGTGGACAAAATTGCCGATGCGTAAACATCGTTGAGACAGCTAACTTCGCGAGAGCATAATTCCATAAGTTTTCCATCAAATTTCATACTTTTGGTGTCATTATGATCGGGAAAAGATTCTCTATCTTTTCATAAAAAAATTTTTTTTTTTTTTAAATTGGTGGACCCTGAGAATAAGTCTCTGAGAGGGCCTGTGGACCCTGAAAGGGTTAAGTAGGGACATCCATAGGATTGAGAAGGGGTTTTTTTAAAATATTTGTAGTCCACAGCTTGTTCATGGCATGTGAGCAGTTTGTGAGGACTGATGGAGCACAAAAATGTTTTAATAACTTGAGTGCAGTAGTGTAGCAAGTAAATTATGAAGGGATTGGGAATGCAGACTTTAGTCTATATACAGTACTGCACTGAAATTTAATGTTGCATTTAGCGTATTTACTTCTGCAAGGACTTTTGAATATGGTCACAAGTCATCCTCCTTAATGCAATAAGAAATAACAGATTCAAAATAATTTGTATCACAAGCATTTTATGCTTAATCATGCATCAAATACGAACATCAGTTTTATTGAACTGTAATGCATATGTAGCAGTTACAATGTTATTATTTTCACATGATTATACATATGACAGAAAATCTGTAGTCATTATGTCTCAACTTTTGAAATACTGTCACAGTATCCTCCTTAAATCAAAAGAATTACAGATTCAGAATTCACACATATTACTACATCCATTCTTACCTCAGAAATAGACACTATTATATTACTATAAATGATACAACATCTAATCTGCCTATAAACATTAGTGCCCCCAAGGTAACATCTGTGGCTCCTTCTCTATTCATCACTTATATCAATGCCCTACCAAATGCTATCAAACATCTTTTCAAAGAAAAATTTAAGTATCAAGTCTGTAGTAGCACTACATTTAATCGCAATGATAAAACTGAGACAAATAGGCAAATTATAACACTCATGTGAATTCTGTACACAAACCCTGGTGTTAGGTACATGCACTTTGCATGTACCTAACATCATAATATTAAATACATAATAATATTAAATACCTTTCCTTCAGTCAGTTTGTAGATAAGCCATGTGTCAATTGTGCCAAACATGACGTGGCCTTCCTGTGCTAGCTTCCTCACTTTCTCATCATTTTCAAGTACCCATTTCAGTCTCATATTTACCTATACAAAAAAAAAAAATTCAGATTAAAGAAAAAGATTAATTATTTTTCACATATAAAGTACAGTGGACCCCTGACTAACGATATTATTTCAATCCAGAAGTCTGTTCGGGTGCCGTTATAGACCGAATTTGTTCCCATAAGGAATATTGTGAATTAGATTAGTCCGTTTCAGACCCCCAAAAATACACCTACAAAAGCACTTACAAAAATACACTTACATAATTGGTCGAGTTGGGAGCTGATCGTTAGTCGGGGGTCCACTGTATATAAATATTGATCGAGACATTAAAATATCAAAAGGGTTCTAAAAGTTTAGAAAACATACATGAGGGAAGATGGGTAGATATCCAAGGGGTATGTGAATGAACAGACGAAATTAATGTTAAATACAGGTACTCTAAACTATGAAACTCCTAGTCCATAAAATTTAATTATCCAATGTTTTTAACAATGGGCAACCCACTTCTGCCAAGAGTTTTATACAAATGGTGGAAGAGTTCACTGAAAATGAAGAAGCGATGCTCCTTCATACCCAGGTTTACCAGCTGTCATGGGAAAATGCAACCTAGAATTGATGAATTATTTGTATGTGACAGCAAGTTAGTCACTAGATTTTGACAAGAAATATAATAATGAGTGCCATCTAAAGCTGGCCTGCTTGAAAGAAAGCCTTCTGCACCTTAACTTGAGAAACACTTCTCTTTAAGACCAATTCAATAATGATTGATCCCAAGAACACACTGCAAGCAGAGCTGTGGGAGGGTAAAGGTCAAGAACAAACAACAAGAACAAACAACCTGTCAGTATTTTATACTATTTTAATGTTCAACTTAGCACAGGGTACAGTATTTGAACATCTTACTGCAGCCACTAAGAATGATGTGGAAAAAGTACACAATACGGAACTAGTTCTTCCTATGCATGGACTTGAAGTTCTCCCCAAATTTGAGTGAAATGGATTAAAAATTTTATTAAAACTTCATTCATCATTAAGGTGCACACTCTTCAGGAAAAAATGTAGACTGAATTCCTGAAGTTGGAGAATGACAGTTCTTCTTCTTTCAATAAACCAGTCGTATCGGGTGGCCCAAAAAGAAAAACAAAATTTTCTCTTTTTAACTTTAGTAAGTGCGCCGTAACAGGCGACTAACATGCTCCAGGTATGTTAGTCGCCTCTTATGGCGCACATGGCTTAGAGGAAAAATTCTGTTCCACTTCCCCAGGGAGATAAGAGAAAATAAACAAGAACAACAAGAAAAATAGAAGAAAACACAAAGGGTTGTGTATATATATGCTTGTACATGCCAGTGTAGTGTGACCTAAGTGTAAGTAGATGTAACAAGACACCTGAAATCTTGAATGTTTATGAGACAGAAAAAAAAACACCAGCAATCCTACCATCATGTAAAACAATTGCAGGCTTCCATTTTACACTCACTTGGCAGGACAGTAGTACCTCCCTGGGTGGTGTGAATGAGTTATCATGCAGAATACTACAATTAAAACCTCCACTGACAAAGTTCTGGTCTAAATGAGCATGTGTTATCCAGTCATTATTTTAATCAAGCACTATCATCCTGATAGACTGAAAGACAATACTAATTAAACAGAGATGATTTTAAGAACATAAGAACTCAGATGTTGCAAGTATATGGAATAGGTAGTAAGTTACTAAATGCCGTAAAGAGTTTTTATGAGGAAAGTGAGGCTCAGGTTAGGGTGAGTAGGAGAGAGGGAGATTACTTCATGGTAAAAGTAGGTCTTAGACAGGGATGTGTAATATCACCATGATTGTTTAATATATTTATAAATGGGGAGAGGGGTGGAATTAAATTATGGGGAATCAAGTACAAAATGGGAATTGACACAGTTACTTTTCACTGATGATACTGTGTTTATGGGAGATTCTAAAGAAAAGTTGCAAAGGTTAGTGGACGAGTTTGGGTGTGTAAAGGTAGAAAGTTGAAAGTGAACATAGATAAGAGTAAGGTGATGAGGGTATCAAACAATTTAGATAAAGAAAAATTTCATATCACATTGGAGAGAGGGAGTATGAAAAAAGTGAATGTTTTCAGATATTTGGGAGTTGACTTGTCAGTGGATGGGCTTATGAAGGATGAGGTTAACCACAGAATTGATGAAGGAAAAAGAGTGAGTGGTGCATTGAGGTATATGTGGAGACAAAAAATGTTATCCATGGAGGCAAAGAAGGGAATGTATGAAAGGATAGTGGTACCAACACTCTTATATGGGTGTGAAGTTTGGGTTGTAAATGCTGCAGCGGTTGGAGGCAGTGGAGATGTCCCGTCTAAGGGCAATGTGTGGTGTAAATATTATGCAGAGAATTCAGAGTGTGGAAATTAGGAGAAAGTGTGGAGTTAATAAAAGTATTAGTCAGAGGGCTGAAGAGGGGTTGTTGAGGGGGTTTGGTCATTTAGAGAGAATGGATCAAAGTAGTATGACATGGAGAGCGTACAAATCTGTAGGGGAAGGAACGCAGGGTAGGGGTTGTCCTCAGAAAGTCGGAGGAAGAGGGTAAAGGAGGTTTTGTGGGCGAGGGGCTTGGACTTCCAGCAAGCGTGCATGAGCGTGTTAGATAGGAGTGAATGGAGACGAATGGTTTTTGGGACCTGGTGAGCTGTTGGAGTGTGAGCAGGGTAATATTTAGTGAAGAGATTCAGGGAAATCGGTTATTTTTATATAGCCGGACTTGAGCACTGGAAATGGGAAGTACAATGCCTGCACTTTAAAAGAGGAGTTTGGGATAGTGGCAGTTTGGGGGAATATGCTATATATCTTTATATATGCTTCTAAACTGTTGTATCTGGGCACCTCTGCAAAGACAGTGATTATATATGAGTGTTGAATGATGATGAAAGTATTTTTTGGGGGGGATTTTCTTTCTTTTTGGGTCACCTTGCCTTGGTGGGAGATGGCCGACTTGTTGAAGAAAAAAAAACATCAGAATGAAGGAACACTGCAGTAGGCCTACTGGTCCATGCAAGGCAGGTCCAAGTCTCCTACCAGATTAAGCCAATGCCCTACTCTAGTCAGGTTAGGTCACAGTCACTTAAGGAAGGAGCACAGCATCTTACCAAGTAGCACAAGCTAGTCAAGTCCAACTCACACCCACTCATCTAACTTATTTTTAAAACTACACAACATTTTAGCCTCTGTAAATGTACTCAGGAGTTTGTTCCACTCATCCAAAACTCTATTACCAAACCAATGCTTTCCTATATCCCCCCTGAATCTGAATTTTTCCAGCTTAAAACCATTGCTGCAAGTCCTGTGTAAGCTAGATATTTTTAGTACACTATTTACATCCCCTTTATTTATTCCTGTTTTCCATTTATACACCTCAATCATATCCCCCCTAATTCTATACCTTTATAGAGAATGCAGATTCAGGGCCTCAGTCTATCCTCAAAGGGAAGATTTCTAATACATGGGATCAACTTTGTCATCCTCCTTCATATGTTTTCCAGAGCATTTATATCCATAGTTTCAGGATTGGAAGTAGCTTGAAATTGGGCTCAAAGTAGAAGAAATATTAGATGTTGTAAATCATGACCAATCATTCTTGGTTACATATTATTATCCAAGAAAGAGAGTACATCTTCTATTTTTGAGTGATTATGAATTCAAAATGGAAGACAACTGCAATATAGATAGGCCTGGAGATGTGATTAATGAACAGAGGAAATGTTGTTTATTATGGATGCTACTTTTAAATAGCTAATAAGAATTTGGTCAAATGGAACAATGGAACTTACTTAAAATATGACTCAAAGTGGGTAAAATTGCCAATTTCATTACTTAAAAAAAAAAAATTCTCTACCATTTCAGATTTTTTTTAAGTGGACACTGAGAGCAATATTAATTTTTGGGGTCTGGACAGCGAAAGAGTTAAATGTTCCATAACACATGTAAATACCGGTATAGTACTATTTACAGTAATTGAATGAGGACTTGATTATAGATCATTAAGAGCTAAGTACATTTTCAACAAACCAGCTGTATCCTACCAAGGCAGGGTAGCCCAAAAGAAAAACAGAAATTTTTCTTCACAACTTCAGTAATGTATACAGGAGAAGGGGTTACTAATCCCCTGCTCCCCTAAGTACACTTATTTATTTATATACAATATAGTGCATTGCATATATTCAAGTCTTTATTAACAAAATACTGGTATGAAGAGGAAGCTCCTCATACCATTAAGTCTGAAGTAATGGAATTCAACTTCATTACATCTGAAAAAAAAATTGACAAATATACATAATAGATACTGTATATATTTCTATTACTTACTTGAATATTCATAAAAGTGAGTACACTACCAGCTAGACACCTCTTGTTTCTCAAAATCTTGTAGAGCACAGAGCTGACAAAACGTATAGTCTGTAAAAGATTATAAAAACATTCACTATAAAATACGCATTTATGACTGTCCAGGAAGAGACATCAGAATGGGAACTGTAACAAATGGACCAGTATTAGGGTCATTTCTGATTTATGTGAATGACATTCCAGATGGGACTGAGTCAGATGTATCCCTGTTTGCTGATGATGTAAAATTGATGAGAAGAATAAAAACAGATGAGGACAGGGTAAATGCTGCAAATGGATCTGAACAAATTACAGAATGATCAGATAAACACTTACTTGAATTCAACCTTAGTACATGCAAGGTCATGAAGGTTGGGGAAGGGGACAAAAGACAAGACATGGCATATAGTCATGGGGGACAGAGGTTGTAGAACTCACTCAAAGAGAAAGGTCTAGGGGTGAGCATAGTGCCTAGCATTTTACCAGAAGCTCTCAACATCCAAAGAGCCTCTGCAGTCAATGCTTGCCTGGAAAATCTAAGAGTGCCCTTCAGGAATCTCAACAGTCTTGTTGGACATTTTATACAACATATGTCAGGCCCATCTTGAAGTATGCAGCACCAGTATTGAACTCACATCTGACGAAGCATGTTAAGAAAATGGAGAAAATGCAGAACTAGGCAACAAGGCTTGTTCCTGAGTTAAGGGGCATGAGCTATTGGGAGAGGCTAATGGAACAAAATCTAGCAACATTGGAGGATAGAAGAACCAGAGGAGATATAAAAACATACAAAATACTCAGGGAAATTGCTAGAAATTTATTGGGGGGGGGGGGTAGCAACTTATTGGATAGTGTGTAAGATTCTTGACATAGTTGTAGAGAACTGAGGGTAGATTAATGCTCTGATAACAGCAGAGAATCACTCAAATGCTTCATAATAATATACTGCAATAATTCATTTAGCAAGAGAGGAGAAAATGGAGCAGGAGGGACAAGGGAAGCTTGGCATAAGACTACACACTAACTTAGCTGCATCCTCAGTGTTACTGACTGACTTCACCATCTCTCATGCTCTGGAATCCTACCCCTCCAATAATCCTGGCTAAGTTGTCGTACATGCATTTACCTTTTGCAAAATATACATATTTTGGGGGATTACACGTGAATTAGACTATTATATACTACTTCATTCATTTTATTACCATTGCTTTAAAGAATTTTTGGATAGAAAAACTAGTTTTGGAAAATGGTTGAGTTAGCCCTAACTATCCACAGCAACTCACATAATTAGAATCATGAGAAACTCATATGCATAAAATTATGAAGGTCAATGAGCATTCCAAATTAAAAAAATTATTTTACAAATTTGAGTGAGAGAATTATGAATAAGATACATTATTTAAACATGGGAAATTAAAAAAAATGCTATCAGTGGAGTATAGAGGTAAAATACAAATGCCCTGTAATTGGTTAAGGGAAAAGAATACAGCTTCTCCTCACTTAGCGACATATTCATTTACCGATTACTCAGACTTACGATGGGCTCTCTGACCAGTATGAATATCTAAATAATGTATATTAGAGCTGATTTCCTCTATTCTGGTTATTACAATATACAGTACACTACTGTATAAACATTTAAAAATATTCTAAAAATGTTATAAATGGTGCAAAGGTGACATTAAAACAATATTAAAGATGGCTGACACAAACCCACTACCATTACAGTATGATCCCTGCTTAGTGACAAATTCGTTTACTGATGTGGTCTTAGGAACGGAACTCTGTCATTAAGTGAGGACAGGTTGAACTTATCTTAACCATTTCAGGGTCCGTGCCATAGATCTACGGCTTTATGTTCAGGGTCCAAACCGTAGATCTACACCATCAGCTCAGCTCACTCTGATAAGCTGTGAGTGGTAAATTTGGGCCTAGATATGAGAGAATACATCTATGTGGTATGTGTGCACCACATAAAACAAATCCTGCAGCACACTGTATAATGAGAGAAAAAACTGAGACTGTGATTTTCAATTAAAACAGCGACTTTGCAGTTTTTTTGTATGTTTTTTACAGTTGTATTTGCAATTTCTTGGTCTCATTTGATAGAATGGAAGATATATTACAGAAGTAGAGATAATTTTGATTGGTTTTAGTACTGGAAATGGCTTGAAATTGAGCTCAAAGTAGCGAAAATGTTAAATTTTTGTCGATGTTCAAGAGTAAACAAATGACCTCACACGTCTAATACACGCCAGCTGGTGGGTCTAATATACATTCACAAATATGATGATGATATTTATACAATTATTACAATATTGCATAACAGTAAATCTTCTATTTTTTGGTTTGAATAAAAATTCATTATGTGAATAAAAAATAAAAATGGAATTCATTTGTAAAGCCTGAATACATAACTAATGAACAGAGGAAATGTTAGTTTAGTGCCAGGAATGCCTGCATTGTTTATTCTGGACCCTATTTTGAAATTGGAATACTTTGAACTTTGTGTTAAATTGGCCAAATTACCAATTTCCGATCACTTTATTTTGTAGTTGAAACAGTTGACTGGGCGATTTCTTGTGCTCAGTCGATAGAATAGAAGCAATACTAGTGAAATAGCTAAGAATTTGGTCGACTGGAATAATGTAATTGGCCTAAAATGGGAGTCAAAGTCGGCAAAATTGCCGATTTGTAAATATCGCTGACACGTCAAAATTCGCAAGAGCATAATTTCGTCAATTTTCCATCAAATTTTGTACTTTTTGTTTTATTACCTTCAGAAAAAGATTCTCTACCATTTCATAAGAAAAAATAGAAATTTTTTTTTTTTAAATTCTTGGACAGTGGTTCACCCTTTGAAATTTGGCCTATGGACCCTGAAAGGGTTAAAAATACCTATCCAATCACTAAAATGAAAAAGCATCACCACAAAGATAGCCATAAAGGAGGAGCTGTGAATAAAACAATTGATACCACAAGAGACATTTACCCCACAAAAATATTTATATAGTGGAACCTCTACTTACGAGCTTAATCCGTTCTATGACCTTGCTCGCATCTGGATTTGCTCATTTGCAGAGTAAATTTTCCTCATTAATTGAAATGGAATTAATGCATTCCAGTGGAATTCTTGGCACAACAAAATACATCAATATTTCCCTAATATCAACTTTACGGCTTATTTATCTATCACAAAGTGTCAGGGGCCCGAGACTGTTCAACTGCCTCCCAGCACACATAAGGGGGATTACCAACAGACCCCTGGCAGTCTTCAAGCTGGCACTGGACAAGCACCTAAAGACAGTTCCTGATCAGCCGGGCTGTGGCTCGTACGTTGGTTTGCGTGCAGCCAGCAGCAACAGCCTGGTTGATCAGGCGCTGATCCACCAGGAGGCCTGGTCACGGGCCGGGCCGCGGGGGCGTTGACCCCCGAAACTCTCTCCAGGTAAACTCCAGGTAAATATGACATAATAAGCAATATTAATAACATAGAAACATGATATATACACTAGAATGAATAAAATGCATGTCATTACATATGGCTAGTGGTGGTGACAGTGGCTCTGTTTTTTGTTGGGGTTTATAGGGGCACCATGTGGCATTCCAAATCCTGACTAATTGTAGAGAACCTGGATAACCCAAAAAAATCTTATAAAGTGACTTATAATTTCTACACTATTTTTGGGTACACTCTTATGCTATATTTTGTATACTCCTCCTGCTTTAAAATATTTGTACACATCGTGAAGTGGTATGTTCTGCCTGGGCAAGTCCTTAACCCCCCACTTAATTGTTTATCTATGATTTTTAGGGGGTAGGTTGGTGACAGCAACCACCCAGGGGAAATACTACGTCCCCCAGGGACTGTGAAACAAAAACCTGTACCGTTTTGCATGATGTAGGATTGCTGGTTTTTTTTTTTTGTCTCTAAACACCAGATAAAAGGGTATCTTGCTACCCCTACACTTTGGTCACCCTTTTCCAGACACCACATGATATATATATACATACATCTAGGTTTTTTTCCTTTTTTTTTTAATAGCTTTGTTCTTCTTTATATTTTCTATTTTCCCCTGGGGGAAATGGAAAAAAATCTTTCCTCCGAAGCCATGCTGTCGTTGAGGCGACTAAAAGCCGGAGCAATGGGCTAGTAACCCCTTCTCCTGTAGACATTTACAAAAAGAGAAAAGAAAAACTTTATAAAACTGGGATGCTTAAAGTGCGTGGATGTAGTGCGGATGACAAAAAACAGATGGTTGTGAGTTTTGAATGAAAAAAAAGTTGGATGTCCCGGCCCTAAGGAAACAAACAAGGGGTAGGGGGGTTTCATGGGGGGGAAAAAAATGGGGTTTTAAAACTGAAGATCTGAAGAGTTAGAGCAAAAGGAAGGGGTAGCAGTAAGTTAAATGATCAGTTAGGAAGGGGAAAAAAAGAATTGAATGTGTAAAATTTAAGAATTATGTGGATTAAAGAAAAATTTTGGGTGCGAGAAGTGGGTCATAATAACATTATGCACCCCGGGAAAAGAGAATCGGGGGAAGAGAGATTTTTGGGGGATGTTAAGTGAATGTTAGGAGCCTTTTTAACCAAGTGAGAGAGTAATTGTGGTAGGGGACCCGAATGTAAAGTGGGGAACTTTTTGAGGGGTGTGGTAGGGAAGTTTGGGGGCAGGGATAGAAAGGGGGGTTTGTTTAGTTTCTATTTAAAAAAAAAAAGGATAAATAAGTATACAAATATGATTGGGGAAATGAAAAGAGTTTTTTGGATTATGTATTGGTAGATAAAAAACTGTTGAGTAACTTCAGGAGAAATGTTTATAGAGGGGCCACGATATATCAGATCACTTTCAGTTGTGCTACACTGAGAGTAAAAGGGAGATGGGGGTACAAGGAGAATAGAACACAGGGAAAGAGAGGTGAAGGTTTTAAACTAAAAAAGGAGGCAGTTAAGGGTAAAATATAAACAGCTATTGGAGGTAGATGGGCTAATGAGAGCATAGGCAATGGGGTCGAAGAGGTATGGGGTAGGTTAAAAATGTAGTGTTAGAGTGTTCAGCAGAAGTTTGTGGT